CGTAGTTGCTTAGAACTTGATTAGACCTTTCAAATGACACCCCACTTGATGGGGTAACTCGAGAAAATAATTATTGACCTGTGACCACACCCCCAAGAGGGGTGGTGGTCAATGAAAGTTTATTACTTATGCCCCTTGTAACTTCGTATTTCCATTCCCGAAGGCAGAATTCGAAACAATGAAATGGTTCGAGAGCTATAGGTTTTGGCAAACGAATACAGCAATCCGGACCAGTGTGGGTGGGGTCGAAGATGGTGCTATTAAATATTATGTAATGGTAGGCCTGCCATTCGTATTGCCAATCGTCACGGGTAAATTTGTCATAACAACTAGCAAACAGAAGTTAAAAAACATAATTATTATGTAACATATTTAAAATTTCTAATAAAAATATTATAAAGATATTTTCACAATTTCATACTCCAATATCAGAATCTGGGGGACATATAATCTGTCCTCACCAGGTGTCACATGTGCGACCAGAAATTTAGCAAAGTCTTATTTTCCTTCTTCCACATACTCACAATTCAAATATTTCGCAACTTGCAGTGGTCATTTACACATATGCAAATGAAGAACTTACCCAGGGCCGTATAAAATATCTAGAGACATTTGCCATATACTTATCTCTGAATTCAAGTACCTTTACCATTAATAGGTAACATCGGCTATTCGCCTTTCTTGGAAAATATAATTCACACGATATGCTCGTTGTCAAATTTATTTAAAAAAATCTACTACACAATTTGCCACCCTATACTGTGACTTGGACATACATATAAACATACGTATGTACATACATCTATGAGTAATTGATATCGTGCAAGATTTAGACATCACAATGTTCAACCTTGTCTAGAAACCTGTTTGGAGTGGTGATACCATACGTCGGATTTTGAGCGTAAAACCAACCAACAAGAAAAAATGAACGAAAATATTACAAAGCTGGGAACGATGAACATTGTACCTTTTTCCAACGCTGCTTAGATATTAAAAATTTGGAAAGGTACTTTGAAAGGTAATTGGAAAGGTATTGATCGCTTCGTGATTTCATTATCTTTAGGATATAACTCCTTGTAGGTATTAAAGTTAATTTGCTTTAAGTTTTCCTTATCTTGAAATGGATTTCAGTGGCGTGTTCACGCGTTATGCTTGGCCTTTGTACCTGAGGCTTCAAACCATTAAGATTACTTAGGTATGTATAGAATGATATGCAGTGTTGCTCACGGGACGGGACGAGCCGTCTCGATCTCGCCTTTTATCTATCACTTTTAGATCGCTCAAATTGTTTAGACGAGCCCATCATTGCCTCCTCACGATCGAGAAAGTCTTTTTAAAGGTGCAGACTTTTTCGCTTTTTGATAACATATCTCGACAAAACAGCACTTGTTTGAAGATCGTGATAAATTTTACCTGAAATGCACCTGTTGCCCCTTTCTGAATTTTAGCATTCCAATCTCAAACATGTAATGCTTACCTAACTGTATTCGAATTACATGCATACAGTACTCTCATCAAGAGATATTGTGGGATCGTCTCGATCTCGTCTCGCTCTCATCTCGACACTTCAAGAATTTTCTAGATGAGACAAACCTTGTCTCGTTATGCAAGCTATGCAATTGACATTGCACAACGGATGCTATTGGACACCATTTCTTAGAATACGATCTTATTCATAACACCTTACTCCCCCAATCATCTTGGGTATGACTCTTATACATAAATTACAGGACTTAATATTTAATAATAAAGGTCAATTAAAATTTATGCTGTACGAAACATATCCGGTATGAATTTTACTAATCACATAAGGTGTTTGATGGGTATAAACTCCTTACATACGGTAAGGTTCTGAGTTTGGAACGATCAATATGAATATGCAGGATTATTTTTTCTTTCCTACACGCATATATTAATTTTTGTTGACTTCGTGTTCCCCAAACTGATTAAAATGTGCCTTGGATAATGCCTCATGAACGAATTTGATTAGGATTATATACCTATTGCATGTTTCATAAACACAGAAACTCAAGAGGTCACGCTATAACTATTATATGTAAGTAGTTGGGTCACGCCACGAATTCTCATAAATGTGCACTTATGTTAACTATACTTTCCAATTACTTATGTCTCTGTCATTATTAAATTTAAAAACTCAAACGCAAATGTCACGGAATGTAAAAAAAAACTTAACTAACTCCATGTTCAGAAAGGGTGTAAAATTATCTTTTTGTCATGTAGACGCTTCTTCATAAAATGTGAATTTTATCGAAGCGGTTCGTGAGATTCTTCTATATCCTACCAAATCAAAATGAAACGTTTACACCAATTCGAATCTAAATACATTGATATAATCCAAAAATTGTTTCAATAGTCATTTCAGTTTCATTTCAATTTCAATAGACATTTCAATAATAATTGTTCAAAATGTGCACCATAAAACCTACTTTCTATACTTCATTATTTATCATTCTTATCGTAAACTTTGCCCGTGCCAACAAACCAACGCCAGTTTCAAGCTTGACAGATTTGTTAGCCAATCTGTGCGATTGTGATTTGCAGCTAATTCACTGGGATGACTATGACACCCAAGTTTCCTTTAGTGGCGGGCGCTTGGTATACACCACCATTTTCATGCCAGATTATGACGCATTCAAAATATCCCCACATTACAACTTTGTGGACAATCAAGCGGACGAATTTCCCGCAATGGACATTTTGAGATCCCGTGTTTCCTCATGTAGATTGAGCTTCATCTTGCTTCCTATAAGACTAAAAAGCTCTCCCCACAAAGTTCGTCACCAGACACTTCGCTCTATCACAATATCTACAATGTTTCACCTATTTTACGAAGTGGTACGAAACAAGAACAAATATATATACATGCTAAATAAAAATGCATTCATTAACATAGCCACAATCACTCCGAAGATGGATTCTATTCAGAACTTGCCATTTTATCCATTTAACCAACCATACTATTATTATCTTTCATTAATTATAGCCAACCACAGGCAAAACCTTGAACTATGTTTTATCCCAGTCCGCCAGCTCCTTGAATCCTACGCGGGAAGGATGATATGTCTCACGCAAATTTACTTGAAGGAAGGGAACTTTGTCTCTCTCGTTGAAAACTTGGGACTGAACGTGCAAATATCATGTACTTCAGAACGTCAATGGGAGCTGAAAAGCTTGGCCGCTGATACAACTAAGACATTAAGGAAGTCCGTCAAACAATTAACTATTAATATATTTGCCAAGGGAAATAGGAGCTGTCGTTTATCCGGTAGGTTGGAACAACTAAGAGTGTCAGGGCTAAATTACAACAGGAATCAGGAACTAATATTCCCAAGATTTGGTGGATATCAGTTCCTAACGTGTTATGTTGAGCCATATATTTCATTCTACTTCTTTCTTGCCCCGTTCCAACCTGAACTCTGGGCTGGTTTGGCCATATCAGTTGTCACAATCCTCACAGTAATGACAACAGTTCATCATTACAGAAGTGAGAAAGAACCTTTCTCAGTATGGCTGTTCATTTTAGCCACCCTCTTCGAAGAGACAGGTCGTTTGCCGAGAAAAATGGAAAAAACTACCTTTTGCCGACTATCGTTAGGAATATGGTGTCTAATGTCTGTAATTTTGACAAACGGATACAACGGAATTATGATCCTCGAACTAAATGCGCCACGTAAAGTATTCCATCCAGATAATTTTGACCATCTGCGTTGCCTTAACCAATTTGACGACGCTGTAAAATTAATCAACAAATATGGATGGATTAATCCTGACGAAGCTGAGAAAACAGTAGCAGACCCCCACATTATAATAGGGTATCAAGCCTTCTGGCGATTTAATAATGAAAACCTACAGCTTTTGATGCGAGAGCCAGACAGGGTAGTTGACCTTAACACCACAAACGTAAGCTACAACTGTTACCAGTTGCTCTCAGCATTCCATTCCAATACTGGATTTGAAAATTTACCCGACTTTTTATTACTTCTGCTAAAATTAGCATTTGAACTAGTTGATCTTCGTGACGAAAATCCACAAACAAATATATCGCAAAAGATGTATAGAGATTTAAATCTGTTTAATTCAAAGCATTCCTTCTATCCAATAGGGTTTAGCTATTTGACAGGTACGATAAACTACTCAGTACAAGAGAGAAAAATTGAAGAAGAAGTTGTGCAATGTGGGAAGACGGTATTCGTTGGAAAATCCATTGAGCTTAAGATCGAGTATGATTTTTTATCAAGAAAATATCCAAAGACAAAGTTTTTTATGAGTTCCGAAGCCATTCAAACCTATCCTAGTGGTGTAGTATTTACAAGCCCGTGGAAATCTTTGGCTCTTATTCGACTAAAGATTGCCCTAGAAGCTGGGATTTGGGGCCATGTGGAGGAAGAGGAATTAAGGCAGAGAAACTTTAATCGCACACCTGCCGTGAGCCAATTAGGCAATCGCACCCCTTCGAATACTGCCACACTTGGTGGATCACTTGTTACAGTTTTCATCTTATCTGGAAGTTTAATGTTAGTGACAGTTTTAATATTTATAATAGAATGTCGAGCTGAGATTGGTTTCTTTATTTTGAGCATTTATCGCCGATGTATGAGGTACCAGAAGCTTAAGAAACTTGCTGCAAAGGCTGCTGTAAAAACTACGGTTAGCGTGGTGAAGTTTGACGTCAAAAGTTAGAAAAAAATATTGTGATAGTTATAATTTATAACTAATTTCGGATTATTCTGCAATATGTACAATTAAACTATTTACTAGTAAGATAAACATCCTCCCATTTAAGTAACTTCACTTACTGTTATAACGTGCTTGTTGAAATACACCGTATAAAAAGATATTCCCGTAAGGACCCTAAATCGAAATACCCGGGCTAGGTTGTATTATTATCCCCTAAATTATAAACGACGCTTGCGAATTTCAATCTTTAAAAATTTTTATATTATTTATATGTATTGCATGATAAATTTTATTTGGTTTGCTTTTTGTGCACCATTCATTCTAGACACACAATCATAAATTTTTACGTATATCACCTTGGACTTACAACGGCTTAAAACAAATCCACCAACTATAGTCAGTAACAAATTCCAATATCGTTAAACGTACTTATTCATTAATCTGTTTCTGAATTTAAATTGTACGGCTATTAAAATGCCGCACTTTACTCACATATTTATGTATGATTACAAGTATTTAATGATTTTAATTTTACAATATTACTGCAATCATGGTAGCATACTACTCATTTGTAACTTCCCTAGAAAGGGTAACACTGAGGTCTGCAAGAACATAGGAAGTTATAGCCCAAAGTGCAGTATTCCTGTCCAGTTCCTCCGAGTCAAGGACCTCGAGCATATCGGCTGGAGAGTGATGGAAATAGAAATATTTTTCATCAGCTGTTTTCAAACTAATGCCAGGCACTCCTTCCATAATCATGACAGCAATATCTGACCCGACTGTCTCATAACGAGCATAGTTTGTCGAATTCATTGCTGACGTCAACTTAAGAATTTCTTGAATAATGCAGCCAGCACCTTCCGTCCCTGCGAAATCTAATCCAAGAGGTGAAAAATTACCACTATCCGATTCCAAAACTGCCTTGTAATTCATCATCTCTTCCTTATGCAGGGCAACAAAAGCCCGTGCACCTACCAAGCCAAATTCTGAAATCAACATAATTCGGTTAACTTCCCGATGTAGGTAGAAATATAAGCGAAATTTGGTGTTCCCTTTTGTTTATATAGCTTGTAGCAGGCGTGTTACCTTCTGCAGTCCACTAAGGAAAACAAAGCTTAATTAATATCTTACTTGTGTCATTTATACAAGAACCTACCAAAATTGCTTGCATAGTTCTTTTGGGAGTCAGACCAAGATATTTTATCAGAGCAAGGGCTTCAACGGAGACAAAGACTCCTCCAGCATCATCCATTGCTCCTTGACCCTGGTCCCAGACATCGATGTGTCCAGAAACGACCACGATTTCCTCGGGATTTAAACTTCCAGTAATTTTCCCAATGGTGTTACGAGACGTGACGCGACTTAACTCCTCATCCATCATGGTCAAGTTGAGAACCATTCTATCTCCTGTTGGTCATTTTCGTTTGTATTTGTTGGTTGTTTTTTTACCTTGAATTTACTGAGTTCTTAAGCTCACCTCGCGAATAAACACGATACAAGAATTCGGCATCTTCACGAGTAATGCAGGCTGCTGGGATTTTAGGATAAGCGGCTCCGTAGTAAATACCGCCTAACAAAGGAGGTGTTGTAGAAACTTATCTGGTGAGACTAATGCAATCCATATCCTAATTTACGTACCGGTGTGGACTGTGTATAGAGAGTAAGGCGTTGCGCTTTATATCAAAGCAGCGACGGCGCCATACGCTGAAGCCCGCGTGGGCCCATTGCCACGGTACTGTGACGTTTCCTCATAGCTGCTCAGCCATCCTTGATTATACACCACAATCTTGCCTTCGATTTCGTCCTTCTTTTCTTCTAATTCATCAAACGACCGTACAACAATGACTTCACTGCTGATCCCTGCAATTGGCGTTCCCACGGATGGTCCAACACCAAGGATGCTGATTGATTTGATGACAGGCTCAACCAAACTGGCCTTCTCCTCCCCCCTTTTTGCATTGGGTTAACAATATATTTTTTTTAATATCATAGATTTTGCATAAAACTAGTCTCTTTTACCGAATCCATCTTGGAACTTGTACATCTTCGCCTCGAACGTTGTCTAAGCCAGAAGCCACCATTTTCTCCATCATGTAATCAATGGATTCTTCAAGCTCAGGAGTTCCAGATAAGCGATTGACATACTTGTCCACAAATGTAGTCACCCCCTCGAACGTGCGTCCCTTCCAGGCCCCAGAGATTGCGGCGTTCATAATCTCATCCGCTATTGGCTGATAGTTTTGAATTTCTGTGATTAGAAAATTTGGAAGGGTGCATGGTCCCTGCTTCAAGGATTGGTTCCTGTTTTCCTGTGTTATTAGGGGCGAAATCCCAGAACACAAGGAAAGTAAAAAGAAAATTTGGGTCGCTATGTTAGACATTGCTAATCAAATTATTTATCTCCCACCAGAATCGTGACCAGATTCGTAGTATATTTATTCACGTATGTATGGATATATGTATGGATTCGTATGTCTGTCCTTTGCCAATTCCAAAGTCAAACTTCTCTCCCATACTGAATATGGAATGTTAATTAAGTTGAAATCTATCACCTTATCAAAATATTATCAGATGTGGTGAATTGGTGAAGATGACGATAATCGAGGTGGTGGTGGCGTGATTCGAATTGGGTTGTCAATCACTATTATCTTTATTATGGCAGGGTGTGCAGTATACGCAGCATGCACTCGCCAACATCCACCAAAAGACAATTTAGTCACAAAGTTTTTGCCGAATTATTATAGGTAATTACTAGTTGAATATTTAAAAATGTGTAAGTATTAAAATTAGCCAGAACTTAGCAAAATGAGTGAATAGATCGAAATAACGATATGTTCACTCAGTTGACACCCTGTAACTTAATTCTAATATTCATATAGGCTACTAGCTTCTAAGCCCGTCTCCCGCCGGGCGAGCGTTTGTCCTACATATGCTTGTAACTTTAACATGACCCATATGGTCACTGCACTGTCATACATAGTTCGTAAAGTATTCGTATTCAGCGCCCCAAAATCTAAGGTTGGGACGCATGAAGTGAAAAGAGACTCGATGAAATTTGTCGTCGTTTCAAATAAAATTCACCTGCTTTCACTTCCGTTGCGGACAATTGCTTTCACTTCGGTTGTGGACATTTCCAACGTATGATATAGAATACATACATACATACATACATATCATATAGAAGATTGTAACCTTCAACAGAAAAATGGGCTCATTGTAGGCAAAAGTTTATTTCTGCATACCAGGTCGTGCTTCAAACTTGCTATGCATGAATTAAAATGATGATGATGATGATAGAATAAATCTTATCCATCACTTTAATCTTGTGTAAATATCTCTTCGATAGCATATGTATCAGAGAAAATAAAAACTGCCAATTGTGCATATCATACAAACATATTCTCATCTGAATTTTAATCCCAATGCACACTCATACCCTGATAAATATGTGTACGACAAAAACTAATTCAATGCTACTTATACCCACAAAAAAACATTCCCGACGCTACATACATATGTGGCTACACCTACATATGGATATCAGGGTGCTTATTCCAATAAAATCGTACTTTCTAAAATCTAATAAAAATTGCAATACTGCATAAAATACATCCTTGCACGTCTAATATTACAAAGACCGAAGGGAGGCAGTATGAAAAGTTAAAAATATCAAGTTTTCGACTTTTAATTCTGCCAACACGGCCACTTGGTAATGGTAGATCGAAGGGATGGTGGTTTCTGAATACTCTACCCTTAAAAATTCAATGAAAATGAGTGCCAAATAAATGCCCTGACTAGGGTTCGAACCCACGAGGCGTTAAAATAATTTGTTCACCTTTTCTATGATCTCCGCATTCTGTACACCTTTCCTCAACTTAAGAAACAATCGTACATATGTATATACATGGAAAAACAAAATTTGAGATGGGAAAATCCAAAAATATTGCAACTTAACTACACATTTGTGTAAAGATGCATATTTGTAACCAAATATTTCTTTATTTGTTTATGCAATGTAATTTATTGAAATTAATTCCCAAAACTATTTAACTTGATACATATCTGTCGTTCAATGTTTTACAATTAATTTTCAGAATCCAAGAGGAACCATTAATCGATCAAATTTACACTGGATTTGGGACATCTGAAAGAATTTCGAAATCACGGTGAATTAAAATTCCTCCAGTAATCATATCTAAATAGATAAACTTACCATAACTGACAATGGAGGTCTCCCAACGTATGCTCATAGATTTGGACCAAACTAGCGTCAATGGATCAAAAATATAATTAGTACGAAATTTGCAAATGACACTCTACGCCAATGCTTAAGTTTAGCGGAGATATTTGCATAAAAAGAGGAGACAACGCACCACGAAGACTGCCAAATTTTTCATTTTCGAAATTTGCTGTGCATTTTTTCAGCTCTGGATGCAAATATCTCCTGCGCATTGGGGGATAGTGCCATTTGCAAATTTCATACCAATTTTGTTTGTAATAGATTAACGCTAGTTAGGTCCAAATCTGGGAGCATACGTTGCTCCCAGACCTCCATGCTTAGCTTCTCACCTACTTCGTGTCTCCAACAGTCGTTAATTAGCCTGAATATTTAGATGATTAGGACAAAATGTTTCCAGTATATATAAATAAGATTTAAGGAGAAAACTTATCCAACATAACGTCACAACCACTCCACACCGACTTGTTAAAAATTTTTGATTTTCTTTTTCAAAACTGAGGAACATGATATCCAAAATCATATTTTTCCTTCTGATCCAATCAATCTTCACGTCGCAAGTGGACTCCATGCCGTCTGACAAGGAGGACGGAAATCTTGTAAATTCCCATTTAAAAGGTAAATTCCCACCATAAAAAATATTTAGGGTACCATGGATAACACGTTGGCGCCTAATGTAACCCTACCCCTATCCAATGTCTTCAAATGCAATTTCTAAAATCGAATCAATACCACGTGTTTTTGAGATACATGCAACTTTTGGTCCAATCCAATTTTTGGTACTACAAACAAGTCGTTTTTTTTAAAATAGCGAATTCATTCTTGAGGAAATTTATTTTGCAAAAATGGCAAAGCTATTTTTGGTCGCGCCATCTATGGGAACCTTAAATCCTTTCTCAAGTTAAACTCGGACGGGCGAAGAAGACGGGCGGGAATGACTCATCCAAGCTCACCATAAACTCATATTTTTTTAGAGTGCACGACTCCACGTTCGAAATGAGTCTGTCGAATGTGTCGTTTCATCCGATTGTTCCCCTTGTGGCACCTGTTTGGAGAATGAATGCTGGAAGACAGAAGACTGTCGAGATGACTGGAGTTGATTCCGCTGGCCTCAATTAACAGCTCCCATGGATTCGAAAATTTAAACGAAGCATTTTTAATGATTTGACATATTTATTTGCAAGCAAAACATACACAATTCACAAAATTCGCAAATAAACAATCTGCTATCACAGTTGAGCCGAATATTGAGCCTTATTTCGGGAACTTTGTATGCCATGACAGTGCTTATTTTAGACTAGAAATACTAATAATGCTAATAATAACTTACTAGTAAGTGCTTAATATCCGAGAGCTTTTGTAAATACATGTATTACTTAGTGATCCCATTTTATGGACGGATAGAAGGATGCAATCCGAACAGACAAAGACTTGGTTGTCGTAATAAATACTTGAGATGTAATGCTGAGTTCCAATCTATACCGGCATCTCAAATTGTTCAATGGAGCAGTGCTCACGTGGTCTTCCACACTTCCGCAAAATCATAATCCTCATATTTCCCCATATGTGTTTTTGTACCAATCAGCCGCAATCAAGCCGTAAAATATCCTAAAACCAATCCACATCAAGGTAAATATGATAATCTTTTACCCTTGCGAAATCTTTTTCGAACAAAATACGCTCATATACATACCAAGCAAAACATTAATCGTGGTGTCCAGGTGGGTTTGGAAACATGTCGTCAATGAGGATTTCTGATAGCAGTAAAACGAACCGACGTTCACTCTCAAGGGGTGCAAGGATTTGGCAACCTTCTTCTCGAATCTAGTCCCATACTGGGTAACAGTCTGTTACAGAAATTAAAAAAAAACTAAAAATGGGACCTCATTTCAAGCTACACCGTGATCGACTAGCGAGTTGTGTAAATAAAATCAAGCCAAAAATTAGGAGTCACATGGCACTTATCTTTCCGTTGAATGGCCCCTATTGGGGGTCAAAATTCCCACTTCTGCCTGGTTTTCGCCCCGTGGAGGACAAAGCAAGAGAAAATTTGCTCAAAAATTGAACTTAACCGCCCACATTTGTCTTCAAAGGGGCCATTCAACGGAAACAGAAGTGTCACGTGACTCCTAATTTTTGGCCTGATTTTTTGCCATAACTCGCTACCCGTTCCCGGTATAGCTTGAAAAAAAGGTCCATTGCCATATTTAAAACATGTCTACAAACGTTTTTGAACTGGGTCGAAATGGCATTCATTTCAGCCCCGGATTTGATACATCTTCCCTGAAATATCATCAAGATTCCAATCACAGCTTCCATCATGAGGAATAAACTCGGCTGTACGCTGCTCAGAAATCTGAAAACCATCACATGACAGCAGACCTGACCAGCTAGCAGGACATACTCGATAATCGGCCATAAAAAAAGAGCAGCTGTCTCGTTTTGGAGAACGTTGAGGATCTTGAGGGACGAAAACAATTCTAATCTCTCTCTGATTGGGAGCGGATAAGAGGAAAGTTTCCTAAAGAACGGAAACCTTGGTAAGCCATATTTTAATTAAATATTGAGCGTAATCACGTCAATCTTGGCATATCTCGCAAATTGTGCATAACAATATAACTTGCGAAGTCTTGCGAGGTGATATGCCAGATTTCGCAAGAATTTAGCTGGAAAACTATGCCATTTTTTTCGCAAATTTACCCAGCAATTCGGCATCTTCTTACATATTTTGCAAACTTTCCAGCAAGACATATTAAACAAATCTGTGGGAACAATACCAAAATGGGTGTTTTTCAGTAGATTTGCGAAGATTAGTTAAGTGATTTGTGAAGTCATATTTTGCTCTTCGCAAGTTTGCTAAATGAGTTGCGATGCGAAATAAGATGTTGTTATGAGTACGCCTACTTGAAGTATTTGAAAAATCTGCTCACCCATTTTCCACAATTGAGAGCCATATCTTATTAATTTGCATGTAGCTATAAATCATCGAACCAGCCAGGCCGACGGCAAACGAACCGACAAAGTTCAGCCTCAATTCATACCACAAGAAAAGGACGGCGATCACTGGATTATCATAAATTGAACGAGGTAGTAGCCTTGACCCCCAAAAGCGACGTTGATGGCGATCTCTAATTTGCTGCGGTAGGGTTCCAAAAATTGGAAAAGAGGCCGACAAGATTGCCGCGATGTAGAGGAAACGGGTCAAAGCTTTATAATCTGGGGAGAAACGTGACCCACCAAG